CTGGATTTAATCATCATGCAAGCACTAGATACAGATGTAGGGAACATTGCGCATCTGGCATCGTTGTGCCTCAGAATTCAATCATGTAGCTTGTTCAGGAGGTGGAGGGCCAGCATCTTTGAGAAACTTCGGAAACGGCTCCAAATAACGAGTTTCAGGAACGAGGTAGATGGACGAAATGGAGCTTGGTAAAGAAGCAGTGAAAAGAAATATATTAGGCTTACCCATAGCATGTACGATGGCGAAACGCTAGGTTTGTCTTTGCAACCAGGAGTGCACCAAGGTTCAGCACGGAGCTCATTTTTGTTCTCAGTGGAAACAGACAGGCAAAAAATATCTTCAAGAAGTAGTCATATATTGCGTGCTCTGTGCGCATGACATTGTGCTGAGCAGCGAAAGCAGGGATGTTGTAGAAGCAAAGCTGAGGAATGACGAGCAGTTCTTGAGGAAAAAACGGCCTTTGGCTCAAATAACGCAAATCAGCATGTATGACGGGCTATTTTATGGGGAGAACAGAAAAAACATCAAAGGATCAATGAGTGAGCGGGCAGTCCGCTTTCTCGAACCTCAGATGTAATGCGCCACGGTTGGGTTCATCATTCAATACAATGAGGAAATTGGCAGTAAATAGAGAAATCTATCGAAAATATTGTTGCTGAAATGGAGAGAGGTTGGCGATAAGAACGTGCCTACCGAATCAAAAGGAAAGGTGCACAAACCGATGTTCACTTCTGTACGGAACAGAGTATCTCGGCGTGAAATCTGATCTCGGGAGAAATGCGATTCCTCAGGTGCATACAAAGAACTGCTCCAGAATGCCTTCAAGAGGTGCTTGAGGTTCAACACCAATTACAGAGCAACCGATTGAAAGCGGACTGCGTTAGTGCCGTCATATGAAAAGAACGTCTGACGAGTATGTTGGATATTTGGTCCTGAAAAAACGGAAGGCTAGGATCAAGTAAAACATGGCGCAATGTCATAAGCAACGATAAGGATTGATGATCAGCGGTCGGAGGTTTGGACAAGAGGGAAAATATGAAGGCAGTTGACTCCAAAAACAGTCTTCTGTCTAAAGGACCATGTTAGGAAGAAGAAGAAAGAAACTGATTGATGAGTGACATTTTGTTGTCGTTACGAATTCG